GAGTGATCATTTTGTGGCACTTGATAAGGTTGAAGGGACAGAAGCCAATGGAGTATAGCAGGGAACTAAACCTACTGTACTAGATAATACAATCACTCAGCACTCATCTGATGAACCATCAACCGAGTTTGTTTGTTGCTTGCATTTAGATTTCCCAATGACTCATGTTAGCTTTATTCTGCATAACAGTATACAGATGTTAATGGTTGAAATGTTACAGTCTATATTTTGTGAAATCATTTGATTATGTCACATACTGAATGTTTTTTCCCAGGTACCCCTCTTATTCATGTGTTGGATGTTTTCTCAGGCTACGCTTACAACCCTTTCAAATTGTTCTAGTTTTTACTCTTGATAAAATTTATTTCGATCTAAATTGTTATATAGTGGCTGGAGGAATAATGTGATAGCTTTTAAGATACTTGTCTTCCACTCCTAAGATATTGTGTTTAAATCTTAACTAAAAAAGAAACCAACACCATCTCAAGTATATAAGAATGATAGTATCTCTTGTAGTAGTTCATTCTTGTAATTAGTGAAGGCACAAAAGTGTGCCTAATGGTTGTGGATGTTAAATAAATTTTAAAAAAGGAAATTCTATCTTGTCTTTAATGTATATCTGTTTGTATAGTAAAATCTAGAATATTTCTTAAAATATTAATAAATGAATTTCTCAGTTAAAAGGGTCAACTAGGCCTAATATTAATCAACTTACACATAAATCAAAAAGATTGTTTTTTTGCTGATTTACTATATAAATTCATTTATTATTCGCCAACTAGTTAAAACATGTATGTTGATGGTATAAAAGACAATATTTTATTGTTTTATTTTCTATTGAAATTTAACCTAAATAAATTGTAAGCTATTCCAATATTGAACTATATTATCAAGTTTTGTTAACTCATTAAATATGTTATGATATTAAGAATTTAATGTTAGTTATTATTTCTGTCTACTGTAGTAGTCATCTAGAACCTCAATGTGTTTTATTGATGTCATCATGTGTTTTCAGAAGTCATTTAAATTTATACTGTAATTTTGGAAGGTCGGCATCAAAAGTTTGGGTTTATTTATTATTTATAATTTAAAGAGTGATTTATTTTCATATGATATTCTTGCTACCTTTTAAGTTTATTTTATATTTTTAAAGTAAAATTGTATTTATTTATTTTTATTTATTTTATTTCATTCCATCCCATCCAACAGCGTAAAACGCCAATTACAGGATTCATAAAATTCAATATAAAATATTTATTATTTTTATATTATAAAATATTTATTATAATTATTATAAAATATTTATTATAATTACATTATAAAACCATTAAAATTAATACAATAAAAATAGAAAATAGCACACAATATAAAATAGCAAACCTAAGTAAATACAATTGATAATACCAGAATTAATTGTGATGATAATAATGTTGTTATAAAAGTAGATAGGCTTTCTTTTTAAACGATTTTAAAGGTTGATGAAAAATATCTAAAATCTTATTCTTGTTTAAGATACATTTAATTTACTGTATTGCATCCTTGGGATGGAATGTTTAGCTGTGTACGTAGTAGCACTTAAAATTGCTTAGAAAGAACTTGGTACACTATTTGGAAGGGTAGGGGATTGGATTGTCACAATTCTGACCAATTATATTTCCTGTCATGTTGATATACATGTGTGGTGTGATTGCTGTGTTACACATTTAGAGTGATACACTGGCCAAGAATGGAACCATGTTATGCCTCATAAGTCGGGCTTACTGTAGTTGTGAGGCTTAGGACGTGCAGTTAATCATCTGAAAAAAAAAATCGGGGATTTTTCATATACTGGAATCATGGATCCTGATATCAACGACAAACGTTCTAGCTATTATTGATATTATGCAGTAGTTATGGTATATCATTTGGATATTGAGATTAATAAAATATGAATCTAAATTTTTAAAAAAGCAAACAAGTTAAGGTAAAAGTAAAGGTTTATTTCATTAATATAATGTTGTAAGATATTCGTTTCATGTTAATTTTGGCTCCTGAACTGAGATGGTCCTGCTTTGACACTTTGACCTTATGTGGTATCCATGTTTGCATTTGGTTGGCTTGTTCATATGAACGATATCGATTTATCTCACCACATGCACTTCTTAATAATGACTGCTGTATACACTCAACTCTATATATAAATGACATTTAATTTGTATCTATAGACTTCCTCTAAAAAACAAATAAACAAATGACGGAGTAACATAAGTGCAACTATAGAACACACCCTTGGTTACATTAACGTCACAGGATGTTACGAAATTTTCGAGATATGATGGCAGATGGGTTGATAAAGACGTATAATTGCGTGCTGGCGAAGTGACTATGAATGCTGTGTCACGTAAGGTTATTGATGGTACTTTTAACTGCATATACACGTTCTGCTGATGTTAAACAGAGTCGGCGCTGCTTGTGTCTTTCTATGTCAACATGGCTGCCTATATTTGACTTCAATTTTTCATATCTCAAGTGTTTATTTGTCTCTTATAAATATTTGATATGACCCACAGAATCTTTAGCTGTGATCATGCCGGTGTATGCAGAGTATTATTGTTCAGTGATTACTCGCATTTTACGTGATACTGCTTGAGATTCAAACAACGTAGTCCTTCATTTATTATTTCATCAAAATTATTCACTGATTTGATTGTAATCAGTGATAATGAAAGAAGGCCTAATTATATTTTATCATCAACTTATAAACAAAAAAAGGCAATAAAGATGCAGTACTGGTACCAGGAATAAAGAAACCAAAGTTCAACATATATGTAGATTATTTTTGAATTTAGCATTTAGCAACTTTTTTTTTAAAGAATGGAGGATGCCTTTTTATTCAATTTAATTATATATTTAGTTCCTCAAAAAAGTAGAAAGGAGGGCGATCCAATCCAGTAAAGAAGACAACACTTTAGTTAAATTTGGTTAAGTGCATACAAAGTTGTTTGTTTTGTGATAAAAAAAAAGAAAAAAAAAGATTGCTTCCAAGTTGGCTACCAAATATTGGTGGCCATCCTATCTGTGGTAAATTATTGAAAACCCTAATTAATTTCAATTAAAACATTTATGCACATTTCCAAGTATCAAGTAGGTTTAAGTTATTAACTTTAAATAGAAAATACATCATGTATGTGTGTGTATATATATATATATATATTGTTTTTATATTTTTATGCATTTTTCTTTTAATTTTATTTTGTAATAAAGTGTAGTTTAAGATAATACCCTGGACCTCAGGGAAGAACAGTGTAACAATACTGACTGAGTATCCAGAATAAAGAAAGATTTCTATCTATCTATCAAAACAACCAATTTTCAATGATTTCACTGATACTTAAACTGACTTATAGCTAATAAAGAATTTATTATTCTATGCATCTATTAATTGGCGGAGCAATGTTTTTTTTTTAAATTTTAATTTTAATTGAAAACTAATAATCACTTAATATAAAAGTATTCAATTCAAAATATGTATTCGTCCCAATCAATCAATTCAGTCCTTTACCATATTAGCCTTTAAGTGATTCCTTTTGTTCTTGATTTGTCCCTTTTTTGTGTTTTTAATTAATTTTTATTGGCTTTTTAAAATGGATTTCATATGTGTTATATATTTATGATGAATAAAGTGAGATTTAATTCTTCAAGGTTATCAGCTTAGCACAATATTATTTATGAATCTAACCTTAAAAGTACAGTGCAACACTTTCAATCTGGATTTCTAATTCTAATTTAATGGGATATTCAAAGCATATTTAATTTCACAACAAGATGTTACGAAGCAAACTTTTACCCTTAAGTTTAATGTTGCTTCCGCACGCTGGCTCCTGACTGTCTTACGAGGCCATAAGATAATCTGTTGTATTGTTTTATGTACGATTGTTGTTTATACGGTATGGATTCAGTTACATACCTATTTCAGCATATTTCGTTGTATTTTGGGTAGTTGGGGAAAATTGAGAACGAAAATGAATGCATGATGCTGGTAGGGATTTTGGCTAATGATGTGTTACGCACTAGCTTTCTTTCTCTAGTGTTTCGTGCCATGATTTCAACCAGCAATTCTAAAAAGGAGTCTTTGCTCCTAGCATTACGGAATTCAAAATATTGATATATCATTTCCTAAGGTATCAATTTTTTAAGTAATGTCCTTGAAATGATTATGAAAGTGTAAACTAGTACACTTATTTATTGTTTGGCTTTTCTATAATATAGTGTTATATTTATGAAAGTTTTGTGTGTGTTAGTGTTAATGTGATTGGAGTTTTATCTTTTTTTACATGGTTATATTAAATAAGATAATGTGATTTTTATTTTATTAATCAAAATGCAACAAAGGTTGAAATACTTTTAAGTTTGCACAATGAACAAATATTATAATTACAAAACAACATCAAACACCACATTCAGAAATACCAAACTTTAGGCCTATCTATTCAATGATCGTACAGGTAATTTGGATTTGAAAATTGCTATCTATATACATGAATTGATTATTAAAAACAAAGTAAATTATTAATTAATGAACTATAAATATATGCATAAGTTTGATAAGAAGAAATTATTAAAAACCAAAAGGTGCACTGACTCGGTTCAAGTAAAATAAAACAAAGGTGACTCCATATTACTCAACGTTTTGGCCTTATTTAGTCATCATTAAGAATAAAAACATAGTGAGAGTAATTACCAAAAATGCTACAATATGTAAATGCAATTGATGAACCATAAAATAATAATAAGCAGTGATTGTGATTGGTCTAAGGTCATAGGGTGGAGTCAAAATTAAATAAACAGAGAGTTTCTCTAGAGAATTGAAAATCACTCTCTATTTGAAGTCACATTTGTTTTATAATTTAATTTTTTTCTTATTGATTAATTAAATATGTATAGTTATTGAAAATAATTTCTTAGAATTAGTCTTAAAAGTGATCAGGATACAATTCTAAAATCTCTTTATTTCTTTTCAGGTATATACACTCCAAAGAGAAACCATTTAAGTGTCAAGAGTGCGGCAAAGGTTTCTGCCAATCACGAACGCTGGCTGTGCATAAGACACTTCACTTACAAGAATCACCACACAAGTGCCCGACCTGCAGCCGAACCTTCAACCAACGTAGCAACTTGAAAACGCATCTCTTGACGCACACGGACATCAAACCGTACAACTGCGAACACTGCGGCAAGGTGTTCCGCCGGAACTGTGATCTGCGTCGACATAGTCTCACGCACAGAATTCCATAAGTGGCGATTACGTCTAGTAGATTAACTATATGCATTCCAACTCAGGATTAGGTTTTGGGAAAAGAACTTATAAGGGATGGGTGGGGTTAGATAGAGGGGCGTAAATTCCCCTTTCAAATAGTTAGAATGATAGCTTCATGGTGTAAGTGTTCTGTAATACTAACCATGAATCATTAAATTTGTTAAACCCATGTAATAGGTACAATATGTAAAATAATTTTAAGCCTTTGTTCATTTAAAAAATTGTTTTTAACTACCACTTTCTCATAAATATTTAAAATAATGTAAATTAAAATTTAAAAACTTTTTTAAAGCGAATAGGAAATAATTGATTAGCCGTGAATGGTATTCTCATATTATTTATCTAAATGTTAATATGGATTAATGTGTAACAATTAATGTGGAACAATGCACTTTTTTAGAGACAGCATCCTCGTCCCACACCTACGGATGAGGGTGTGCTGCACATTATCTATCTTTACAGTAGGCTTGGTAGTTGAGTTATCTGATATCAAGATCCGTACTTGTTGGCTTCCAGGTGTAAAAAGACAATATAACAACTTCCTCAAAGGATTGCTTCCAATGTTGGCAGGTCTCCTTGAAGCTAAACACTCCCTCTATTAGTCGACCTACCAGGATGTTAGGTCGATGTTTAGCTAATCTTACTTTGTTTAATAGCTACCTTTGTTTGGAATCAATCCTCCACAATCTTCTAATAATAATAATTACTATTTTTAGATATTTATATGAAATTTCCTTCCTGAATTTATTAAAGGAAAATTAGAGGGTAAACTATTAAATTTGAAAAAAAAAATCAAAACGTTTTTAATAGTGATTAAAATCTAAAATTAAATGGAACTGCCAAATGTGGCTTCGAAAACTTAGATGGTATTGGATGCTTTAAGGGGAAAGGATAGTTTTAAAGATTTCTATAATGATTTAGATTTATAAACAAAATAAGTAACTAAACTATCCTGATACAGCAGAAGTAAATAATATTATATAATAACACATTTTTTAAATGTATACGAATTACAAATCTTATTTGATATGACTCCATTCAACAATTATTTACAATTAGTCCTATATTTTCAGTCATGAATTATGTGGGCAGTATGTGGTGTTTGTATATATTGGGCATATCATTTAAGCGTGGAAGTTATTTGCTTACGATGACTTCCTTAGTGTAGCTAATAGCTTTGATTGTCTTGTGCGATCAGTTGTCCTGTTGCATTTTTGTCAAGGCTAATGTTTCTTGCACGCTTATCTAATCCGGGAGTATCTCAACAATCAAATTCAGAATTCTAATTCAAAAGCAATCCATTAAGTTAATGCACAAACTGAATCTGGACACATTTAAGAAATACTTTGAGGAGTTTTTACTCTTTGCAGAAAATTACAAATTGTATTGCAAAAGAAAAATATGATATATTACATTTTTTAATGTACAATTCTTTTTGGAATACTATTTTTACAAAATGTTCATCTATATGTATTTTTTTAAGCATCCCTATATTTATTCTTTTCATATTTAAAATATCACTTAATTATTTTTATTTGAATTTCAGTCTGTTTTGTGTCCACCTTTAGAAATAATGTTCATGTTAATATAACTATCAAAAATATGGAATCTTATTTATTATTTGATTGTAGTTCAAATAATGGGCCTGGATTATTTAAGAATACTTTAATTTTATATCAAATTCATCTCATGTTTAAATGCTCTATCTTTCACTTGTTTGTGGATAGTTCTGTATGTTAACACTCGTTTTATATTTGTAAAAAACATTTAGTAATGTTTTCACTTTATTGTAAATAGATTAAATTGTAAAAGGTTTTTTTTATCAGTTTACTGATGCAAGCACATTATTTCACTGTAAATATAGAGTCAGTGTTATTAAATTAAACATAAATTAGTATCACTGTAAATTATATATTTGCTTCTAAAAATCATTAGGAATCGGATAGCTATAAACTAATAAAAAACATATTTTTTGTAGTTGGTTTATTTGGTATTGCCAATAATGATCAAAGTTGACTAATGGACATGTTGCCAAATCTCCTATGGTGCTAAGATAAAGATGAAGGTGTTTGGTTTTTTTCAGATAGATTGATGTACATGATGCAATTTTATTGAATTTGAGATTCTTGGTAAAAATGGGTCAGTAATTTGTAACCTTAAGTTTTAGGATCTTTTTTTTTTTTGGTTCAGAAATTGGCTTTACCATACCTCAAATATCATGCTTTCAGGAATATTTTTTGTTCATGTAAAATTATTTAAAACTCAATATAGTAAATATGTTGTGGACTATTTTAAGATTTTAGTTGACAAGTCTCAATACATTTAAATACTAAAAAATATTGACATCTATAGTCAAAATTTGGAGTTTAACCTTTATTGGTTACTTACCTAAATTTGACAAGATGCACAACTCAACTAAGTTAGTGGTGGAAAGTTAGTTAATCATGATTCAATTGATGTAATTTTTTTTTCCACACCTACTAGTACAATTTTATTTAGATATTATTAGTGAGGCACAATCTATAGGTTTACAAGATACAGGATACAATATTTTTTTTTTTTTTTTGTATGACATGTTTCTGAAAGTGTTCTGTGCATCAACTCAAGAGCTTATTATTTTTTACAAAAAATATACTTATTATTTAGTGCGCGAATTATATTAAAATTGATTAATAAAATCAATCAGATGACTTTTCTGAAAGATATTTTTTAATGAAATTAAAATTATGTAGAATTCTTAATGAATCACTACAGCTTATTGATTCAAATGGTGCTCAGAGATTAAAAATCAATTATTTATTAATTGATCTAATGTTTAATGTGGTTTGTCATTGTATGGGTACAAGCATATAGGTATGTGTAGTAGGTAGGCTATCTTAATGCTAGCATAACTGCTGAAATAACACAATGTGATTAAAACCTGATTAATGTATAGTTTGTAAGATAATTACATTTGTTGAAGTTAAGTTATTGTTACATAGTTTGTAAATATAAATGTTTAGCATTTCTTTATCAGTTGAATATTAAGCTGAGTATTTGCTGTAATTGGTACTATTTCTTATTTTCAGGTCTGCTACAAAAACTTTGAATGTAAAAATCATGTTTGTACCAATTTAGTGTCATTTTACATCTTGTTTTCAGGGTACAAATCATGGTACAGTGATGGTATCATTTATATAGTAATGGTATGATGTCTCTAGTGCCTTACACAATGTGCGTCATCCAAGGTGCTTTAAACATATGTAATGGTGATCAGGTTTACTACCATTCTGTTACCATTTGCTGTACCATAATTTTACAACAACAGCGGTATTATAAGCCAAGGAGTTTAAAATAAAGTTTAGGAATGTAACTCACATTTATTAAGATGACTTTTGATGTTAAATCTGGAATGTGGCTATATTGACTTAAAAATGATTTTCAATTTTATTTAAGACATTTCGATGTAATGTTCCAGTCAGTTACATTAGAAGATCATATCTTTAACCTGTCAGTTATATGACTAAACTTTTGGCTTAAAATGTGCTGATATACACGACACAAGATTAAGAAAATACTGGTTTATTGGCCCCTTGGTAAGACGTAGTAGACATAGCATTTCATTGACGAGAGTTTTCATTTACACTGAGCAAATGGTTATGAAAACTTTGATTGAATTTTGAGTTGGCAACACTGTAGACCCACTGGGGACATTGTCATCATCAACATGATTATCTTCTCTTTTAACAGAAATAAATTCATTTAAATTTTGAATTCTACGTGAATGTTGTCATTTGACACACATTTGTTTCCATATCAAGTATATTTTAGGGGTTTTTCTCCGAGAGCTCAAGTTTTCCTGTTTTTTAAATGGTTCAAAGTTTTTATGTTAATATATGATGTAAATTTTCATAAATAGTATCAGCTGTAGGTGAACAGTTGACTTAACAGTATTGTAAGTTAAAATGGCTTGTTAACTGTTCTGTTTCATTTTAACAGTTAAACTGTTACATGTTAACAGTAGGGAGCTTTCGATTTGTGCGATGATGTGACGCGAGAACAGAATCACTCATGCGTGACTGTCCTACCTGGCATCCTACGTTCTCTACATACGTAGATTTGGCCAAATTGCGTTCCAGAATCTGCTCGACGAGGTGACCTTAACGTTCTCGCATGCGCAGATGACTTTTACTGACGTCATTACGTTCTACGTCCTACCGTCGTCATGTAATCGAAAGCTTCCTAGTTCATATTAACAGTTGCAGTTTAACAGTCACAAATTGATTTAGGCCTACTAGTCGGAGGTTAATTTTTTAAAACATTTTTTTTGGTGTTTTGAGGAATATCCATTTCTTACTTCAGTGGCAATAATTCAACAGAGATGAACCAAGTTTTGGATATTACCCAGAATTCAAATGTGGCAGGAAATACCAAGTCTAAATCCTCTTTTATTTACTGTATATTTTGGAAATCATCAATAATAGAAATTAAATTGAAATAAATTCATATTTTGGTTTAAACCTTTGGGGAACACTGTATATACCTCCTTTGCTACTTAGTATCGGTACTACATATTATCAACTACAGTGTTGTTTTTTTTTGTAGTACAGTATATACTATATATCAAATTTATATTTTCTAGTGAATTATCATTGGTCCTGTCTGGTACTTGTCCACATTTGAAACACTGACAACTTAATTTATACCTCTATCCTATTTGTGAATAATTATTACATTTTCTTTTTGAATCTTCGTCAAAAACTGATGCGCTTTCGGTGATAATATGTAAATAAAGTGCTTTATTATTTGGCTTATATTTTTAAAAGAAACTTTTTAATTTACCTTTTCAAGGAGCAATATGCTATTATTATTTATTTTTTGTTTAAATAACCATTTGTAACCGATAGAAATATTTTTGGAAATGTATTTTGTGTCTTGTTTTCAGTGGTGCAATTAGTCGATACGAGTATGTTCGTCTAGCTAAATGATACCCTGAACCTGTGTCTTGAGTACAAGATGAATGTACATGTAAATGTTATTAGTAGAGATCTTCCATTCTGAGAGATAGTAGAATGCTTTAGCATTCTCCAAAATATAATTTATTTTGTACTAAATTCTTATTGCATAATAAAGTAATTTGTCAGGATCTGTTGTGATGTTCTTTTTTGTGGAAATGACCAGCTGCTATTTGAGAAGTGGGAGATGGGGATACTGTGTGGTTGGTAAGCTTGTGAGCAAAGTGAGCAGTATTTTGCTTGTGAGCAAAGTGAGCAGTATTGTGCTTGTGAGCAAAGTGAGCAGTATTTTGTTGGAGGCCAGGGAGCTGAGTTGAGCTGAAAAAGTGTGTGGTATCTATGCACTATGGTTATGATTAACTTTTTTTTAATTTGGGGGTCGTTGAGGCCAGGGGACCTTGGCACCCTGTGCCCGTCAACTTCTGAGTATGATCCCATTGTGGTCAAGGAACTTTGACAGAACTTCATCATATTTTCTGTAAAATAAACAGTGGCAGAGATCAAGAAACAGATGATATTGTTTTGAACTAAAGTATAAAGACGATAGAAATAAATAATACAGTATTATTACCGAATAATTATAATTTATTTTAATGGACTCGTTCTGGATCACTGAAATGGTTAATGCAAATGACTGGTTTTCAATACAAAATACAAGTACGGGACTCCCTCTAATTAAAGACCACTTTTGGGACTGGGGTTTTCATGGTCTTTAGCAGCTTTGGTCTCTAATTAGAATAATAAAAATAAAAGATATTTGTTAATTTGTGACCACAGAAATGTGGTCTTTAATTGGAGGTGTTCTTTAATTAGCGGGAGACCTGTACCTCCCTTTGCTTTACAAAAACAAAAGTGATGATAAAGGGAAACCAAATATGCAAAAACAACAAAGATGAAAGAACAGTGGGGGAAAATCTCCATGTAGCAAGAAGTAGATCAGTGTACTGTTTGCCTACAGTTCAAGAGTCAGACCCACATGTCAGGCCTGGTGGGTATAACTTCACGAGATAACGATAAAATATCACTGTTTTAAAAATTATGATAGAAATACATTTTAATACTGCAGTGTATAATGCATTCAGGAAATAAATATATCAAACAGCATGAACAGGACATTTTTATTTAATGTGAAGTGGCTCACTAAATAAAGGTTATATATTCATATAAAATGAATGATATTGGATAAAAATCAAAGTCAAGATAATATTCATCCAAAGGAAATTGCATATATAAAAGGATACATATAATTTATGGCACTAAATATTGAATCCGATTGGATATATTTTAAAATTTTTCTAATGGTTTAGACAGGGCCTTGAAAAATTAAATTAGCCCATGTTTTAGTTTAGTTATACTTTTACTCAGTTCATATTATTTATTTATTTATTTAAGCTTTATTTAACCAGGGGATATCCATTCAGTGACTAGCACTGCTTTTCAAGAAAGCCCTGGTACATACAGTTAATATCACAAAAAAAAAAAATGTTTACAATCATGAAATTCAAAAGTAACTAAAAGTTAAAAAAAAGATAGCCTAAAACTGAAAAGAAAGCAGACAAATGAAAACTACCAAACCAAAATAATAGACACAACTTAAACAAATGGAAAGGTACAGTCTCACTGAATATAGATAAAGGCCTCTTTTTTAAACACAGAAATTAAAAACATACATAAAGGCACTGAAATACACAATATAAAGTAAAAATAATAACTGAGTACACCAAAAAATAGCAGTGTTGTGTTAATGTTATTTTCGTCCATAAACTATCCACACAAGTTTTGTATTTGTCGAGTAGTCCATTGCTCTGCCACTGTCCGCTGCTTGAAAACAGCGCAGCGCCGATCCACGAAAATCATAGACATTGTTATTATTAGTGCAACACAGACTAGGTTTTCCCACAAGAAAACTTCCATTGTCTCTCTTCTCTTAAAAAAGTAGTTACAGACAGCATATTTTTAACTGTTTATAGGAACCACTCCGAAGCCTAATAGCATTACTAAGCGCCAACCAACCAACCCAGCAACCTGTCTGAGGATTGTATTTCCATTTTTGGAAATTGCGATGATTTGATGACATCAACCTTGCGGCACCTGTACTGTCATTCAATTGTCTTTTTTTCAGCCAATCACTTAAAACAATGACCAGTTTGGCAGGAAGTGATGTGAAATTCAATAAATTAGTAGAAGGAAGGAATGAGAACACAATAAGCAGGTGATGCAATGCAACCCAAGAAAAGTGGTAAATACACATTTATGGCCAAATAAAAAAAATATTGTGTTTTTCATCCAGGTTAAAAAAAAAAACTTGAATGAGGCCACTTTTTTGTTTCCAATTTTTTTTTCACAGAAGGCCATTACATTATGCAGTCATATTCTAGGCCTTGCTCAGGTCGAGGAATACATTGATACTTGCTGTTTACCAGGATGTTTATTCTTATTTTAGGATTTTTCTGACTTAAAGTAAAAAACAAAAGGATGAGGAATGATCAATAATCATGTCTTTTTATTTATTTGGCCAAAGAGACATTGGAGAAAAGGGGGATAGATAGGCTCAAAGCAAAATGTTGACCATTAGAGATTTCCAAAAGTGATAATATAAAATAATGAGAGTTTGGGAGAGAACACTTTCAATATCGAATCAACCAGCAATGTGAAAGAGCAAGTGGCACTTATCCTATTTTCATTTTTAACACCTTGAGAATAAATACTTCCACTTTACAATAGAAATAAGTAAACAACTCCTTTAAATTCAGACTGCAACAGCAAATCCTCTCCATAGCATGCAAATACGAGTTACGAGAATCCGGTACAAAATTTTCTAAGTTAAAAAAAAAAAAACAATTTCCGCCAACATTTTTTAAAAATAGAATTTACTGCCACCCCTTGCCAGTTTAGTGTTCGTTGTGCTGATCTGGATGCCACATTATTATTTTTGCTCTACAATAAAGTAATGTCCAGACTATCAAATTTTTGGGGAAAAAAAATTGTTATACCCAGTCATGTTGTGCCTATATATGGTGATAATGTGATGTCATCATGATCATATTTAGGCATGTCACATGTCTAGTCATAATAATAATAATATTGATAATAATAATAATAATAATATTGATAATAATAATGATGCTTCGGTGACAATGTTTTAATGGTCGTTGTTTGATATCTTTTTTACATTGTAATTTTTATAGTTCATTATATTTGATCATTCTTTCAATTGTTTTACTGTATTTTAATGCGAGAACTGAATTTCCGACTTGGAGCAATAAAGTGTATCTTATCTTATCTTAGTCTGAAGCCATGGTCAGACTAGACATTTTCACATTGGATTATTTTTGGCAAAGACAAAGCATAACAGAAAGATTTACTGTACCACAAATAACATTTGTCATGTGCAAATGGTCATTTAAATGTGCATCATAGTGTGAATTTGATTCCAGTAGAGACCAAATTTAAAATTTGGGCACAAAAATAAACGGGTTAAAATTTTTGTATATGCACCAATACTCCTCTTCATCTTTTCAGCTCAGAAAAAAAGTCTAATAATGGTTGTAGTAGCATTTTCAGAGAGATGCTGTAGCATGTGTTATCAAACGGTTAATAACAGGCAACATGTTACATTATTTCAGAAAATGGGCTTCCTCTAGATCTGGAAAGATTGACAAACAATATATTTAAGTTCAGACAAATTTTTAATATTTCTATAATTTTATCAAATACATTGATGATATATACTGTAATTACAATTATAATACTATACATCATACGTCATATTATTTTAATTCAAATATTAATTTTCTAGGAATGGTGATTAAAATAAATCCCAACTTAGATCAGTCAAATAAAAATACATCATATCTATACCTTATAAAATTGCATATAATTTCTTTAAAAAATATTAAAATTCATCATCATATTTTCATTGGAAATAATTGAATTACACTAAAAATGTATGACTGATGAATTAAAGTCAAACACCAGAAGGATAAAATCCTACTGATCTTATTCCCAAAGGTCAAAATTGCAAGGTAGCCAAAAGTTTCATGAAGTTATATAGTTTCACATAAACTTGAGTGAGGTAGTAAACCTATAGAGGGCAGTACATACTTTTCACAACCATTTCAGTAACATCCTCTCTCTTCGAAAGAATATAAAAAGATGGGACCATTGCTTTAAAGCCCTAGTTCTCGATCTTTTTAAAATCAGTGTCACTCAAAATATGCTTTTGTCTAAAAATTGTGAGTTTCTTTTATGTTACTGAAATAATATATCGTATTGTACATTTTTTGTGTAAAAAAAGACATAATATGCTGTTGTGTTTCTGTTTTTTCCAAATGGAATCCATATATAATATTTCATAACCTTTAAAAAATCAATTCAGTCTACAGAGAAATGGAAAAGTATTTGTTCTTGGCTGAGAAAGACCCACAAGGAATACACTCACTAAGTTTAAGACTTAATGTAAAGCACCTAAACCAACCAGCAAAAGCATTAAACAAAGGCACACTACTAGAAATGTTTGATTAATAAAATATTTGGTAAGTTGGTTATATTCTGTTTAAATCTGGTTCTAAACCATCTTCCTGTGACACACTTCAATCTAATATAAAATATCAATGATATTAATATCTCATGAAGACAGCCTCATTCAGTATTATTATTGCTTCTGTAGAACAGGCTTTGCTTTATTCATGTCACGCCTTGTTACAATCTTTTACAATATTTAACTTACAAAATACAAATGAATCGTCTATCTCCTATGTTCCTCTCTGCAATTTACATCAATAACATTTTTCTCATTTCCAAAAACCTAATAATACTAATTTCAGCTCAAGAGTGTTCAGATTACATGATGGTCCCAAAAAAAGAAAATAGTAATAAATAAATAAAATAAAAAAATTATTTGTAACATTCAAAATAATTTAGTATTATTACTTTACCATTTATTACATGATTCTATAGAATATACAGTTTATTAATAGACATGATTTTCATATAAATTATAAGTCAATAATTCAGCATTATCTTTTGAAAACTCTTCGGTAATAAATTATAATTTGGTCGGTAATAAATTATAATTTGGTCGGTATACACAGCAGTATCAAACAGATTGTTTCAGCCGAAATATTTCTTCTAGTCAATTTTAAAATTCTCCTCTGGAACATTTTCTAGAAAAGAGAAACAAAAGTAGTTACAATCTATATTTCATTCATAAACTTTATTCAATCAATTACCTTATTTTTTTTAAACAATTTTCATTTCATGGATTGAAGATGAAAGGTCTGCCTGGTAGGATATTTATGTATGCAAGTTAACTTTAGTGAAAAATAGAACATGAAATATCAAATATGAAAATGTTGGCCAGTAGAAAGTAAACATATTAACATTGCTACTGTATTACTCAGTGAGTCAGCTACCGCCACTTTCGTCCAAAAAAGTAATTAATAAAAAGAACACATGCAATCAATTTGTTTATTTTACAATCAAAATGTTCTAATTTAACATTCATTATTAATATAAAATATAAAACTATACTAAAAAAAATATTCTAAAAATAGAAACAGGCAATTTATTTTTAAATTTAAATTTCTGCATTATTTCTGTCAATGTATTGCCTGGTACTTGCTGTTGCATGTGAAGATGACGACTGAAGTAACAAACTATGACGATACCAAATGGCAGTCCAGTGGAGTGGATTATGAACTTGTGGTTCAGGGTTGAGAAATTGAATACTTGCGCTGGATGTGAATTGCAATATTCAACATGTTTATTGGTTATAAATTGACCTAATTTGTGTAAGTTGTCCAGCTGTCCAATTGCATCCAATCATAAACTCCCTCAATAAACAAAACTTGTGATTGACACAAAACACACCAACATCTGCAAGCAGTGTTATTTATAAATATGAAATCATTTACCCAAAAACAGTCCAACATTACTAATCGCAACATTACGTTCCCAACTGCTTGAAAATTATTATGCAAAACAGGCTAGGCCTAGGATATCTAACTATTGACGTTTGCAACACTTGTGAGGGAGATTTGCCTGTCATGCTGCCCATCACCTGTGCTGGTAAATTTTTTCTACAGGAAGTGATCTCATAACTTGTGGGAGGTGACCTGATTCCTAACGGGCATGTGATCCTTCAATATCAAACATATTCATTATTTTTTTATGTTTTTAAATGTTTTATCAAGAATGAAATCTCTGTTAACTTGCAAAATTATGGACAGGAGTAAAAAAATCAAGTTAAGATCTAGGACATAGGGCTTGTCCCTTTAAATCATATACTTATCATTTTGTCATATCCTGTATGTATAGATATATACTTTAATTGTAACCATGTCATGTGATTATGTCACATGACCAAAGGAACCTGATCCTGATCAATCATTTGACGAAGAGGAAATACATAGGGTTGATCCTCACAATTGAATCAACAGTAAAATATGGAGATATGCCAAAGATGACAATCACTTCTGATTAATCCTCATATCAAATAGTTTTTGTGACAATTCATATTAATTTTGCACTTTGATAACATTTTCTTAACATACTTTGTTTATACTGTACATACAAATAAGCTACTGTAGTACACAAAGAAAGACTTTATTAGATTATAATTTAGAACAATAGATAACTATTTTGAACTTTATGTATGAAACCTGGACTCTAGCTTGGGCGAGTACTTTAATTGTGGTCTGATTCTTCGACCAATGTGCTGTGAAGTCTACTGGCTTGATTTTAGACTATGAATTATATCCTGGTTTGATAATTTCAATAGAGGGCAGTGAAGTGGCTGGATTGACCATTAGGCTCTAACATGGCCTTTGACTGCTGGGCTCTAAAGTAGCCTGGCTTTCCCTTTTGCTTTAGAATGCATCAATAAACAACTAGATTTGAACTCGTCACTGAGGACGAGTTCGGTGATCCGCCGTACGTTGACCCTCATAAAGCTCACGCGGTGCTGATTGAAAAGTGTCATTATATGCTAAAATATGCTGTAATTAAGTTATTAAAAAGAATAATTTTGAGCATTTTGAAAGATTTACACATTCGTACACGTATTTAAACATAGGTACGCGCACGTCTTGACGCCCGTGAGCACGGTAATAGCACAAAGAGTGACGCCTGATATGAATAATGTGTCAGGAACACAAAGTATGTAACAAAAC